AAATTGTTTGATGAGAGCCTTTTTATTCTGGTGAAAATACTAATGACTTTGCCATGGTGTTGAGGTTGAAAAAACGAGAGCTTGAGCAGTTGCAGCCGCAGCAGCGGAATCGGCCACGTCATTGCCTTCCTGAAGTATTCCAGGAAGAGGCTGGTGGCTCCGAATGTGTGAAACATGAAAAGGAAAATGTCTAGCAGAAATAAGTGTCTGCAGTTTGAGAAATAAAGATAACAATTCTGCATCAAGGGAGGGAGCCAAATATGACTCATAGAGAGACCTAACAATTTGAGTGACATACAGACTGTCCAGGATGAGGTTAAAAGATTCATCAGAAAAGTTTTGAAAAGCCAATATAGAAGCAAAAAGTTCTGCTCTTTGGGCAGATTTTTGAGGAGGGGTAATTTTGGTGTGCCACTGACCGCCCTGTTGCCAAACGCAGGCACCATAAGATTTGCTGCCATCGGCAAAAACAGTGAGGGCATTGGCTAGTGGCTGGGGAGAGAAAGGTTAATTCCAAGAGAAAGGAATAGTTCTTAGAAGTAGCAGCCGTGGGTCTGGTGGCGGATGGCAGGAGACTTCTCCTGGCCATTCAGCAAGTGCAAATTGCAATTCATCAGAAACAGACAACAAAGATTCCCAAATAGACAAAGAAAAAGGAACATACAAAATAGATGGTTCTATTCCAGCAAGGAGTTTGCTTCTGGATCTAATCTTTATAATGAGCTGCACTAACTGTGTAGGCTTGGGGGTTAAAGAAGTGCGAGAAGTGTGAGGGAGATGAAACCATTCTAGGATCAAAAGTTTCTTCTCCTTTTGAACTAGTGCCCCAGTAGGGAGCACTACAGTGTTAATAATGAGCATGCCAAATGGGATGTTGGGGGCAAGTCTGTCTACCCATATGTGTTTTAGGGTTTGATTGACTTGATGCATGGCATGCGTTTGTTGAATGGTCAGTTGTATGCGGTCTGATGGGTGAGAGCCTTGTGTGAGGGCTGTGAAGAGTGGAGATAATTGGGCAGTGGTTAAGGCAGTGTAAGAGCGAACCCAGTTCAGGGTCCCTAAGTATTGCTGTAGCTGAACTAAAGTGGGGTTATTGGAAAGGTGGAGGGTTGGCACATTTGGAGCTGCTGCTGACCTAAGTACTGTATGTCCTAAATAAGAGAAAGGAGGGTGAGATTGGATTTTTTCTGGAGCCACGGTAAGTCCACCCTTCTGAAGGATGTCTAAAAGTTTTGGCAGTTCCTGTTTGACTGTGCCTGGGGGCCCGGGCGCAGCAACAAGAATGTCGTCCATATAGTGGTACACCAGAAAAGAAGGAAATAAAGAACGAAAAGGTTGGAGAATTTTGTCTACATAATATTGACACATGGTGGGGCTATTAAGCATGCCTTGAGGGAGTACCTTCCATTGGTATCTAGTTGTGGGTTTGAAATTATTAAAAACTGGAACTGTAAAAGCAAATAACTGCTTATCTTTAGGGTGCAAAGGAATTGAAAAAAAACAATCCTTTAAATCAATTATCAGAAGATCATAATCTTTAGGAATCAAATTTGGATTGGGGAGGCCACATTGTAGGGCTCCCATAGGCTGCAATATCTGATTGATTCTACGTAAATCACATAATAATCTCCAGGCACCTGATTTCTTTTTTATCACGAAAACAGGGCTATTATAAGGACTTAAGGAAGGCTCAATATGTCCTTTCTGAAGCTGTTCTTGTACAAGCAACTGAAGCGCAGCAAGTTTTTCCTGAGTTAGTGGCCATTGATCCACCCACACTGGGGTTTCAGATTTCAGTGAAAGAGGAAGCGGAGCAGGGGCAGAAAAAACCATTGTCAGTCAAGAGTTAGTCTAGCGTGAAACTGCTGCATAAGATCTCGCCCCCACAAATTTAAATGCAAAGGGAGAACAATAGGTTTAACAAAAGCAATTGTGGGTGAATCCGGGGATCTCACTGGAAGCCAATTTCTGCTGACCTGGGCGTGCTGAACTCCTCCGACACCACGGACTGACGGAGAGGAGTCAGTGGGCCAGGTGGGAGGCCATTCTTCAGAGCGGATTACTGATATTAAGCACCGGTATCTAAAAGACCAGAAAAGGATCGGTCTTGTATTACAAAATTAACAACCGGGCGAGTTCTTATTGGCTTCTGTATTGTTAAAACATTGGGCGGAAAGGAAGTAGTGAGAGAGGGGGGAGAGGGGAGGGGAATCATAGTAGCAACAATATCCCTTTTGTTAATGTGAACTTCTACAGTAACCATGAAAGCCAAAGCAAGAGAGGAAAGGTCCTCAGAATCTCGAAGAAAAGGAGAAGCAAGAACACCTTGTAGAACCAAATTACGATGGGGAAAAATTATAGCAGGGGTGATTTCTGGTTCAGGGACAATAGCAGGTTTGAGAGGAACAAAGTAAGTAGTTGCAGGGAGAGGAGCAAAGACCGATTTAGCCGCTCTGAGTTAAATGATGTCGGGAGGCAACTCTGAATATTCCTCCTCAGCCTTGGGTGCGGGGCTAGCTGAAAACCCCTTATCTAGTTTCCCGAAGTTGGGAGGGAAGCACGGTAATTGTTAGACCAGTGAAACCCTTTCCTGCACTTTGGACAGACCGTTTTTGGTTTTGCAATTTGATTTCGGGCGCCTAAAGCAGCGCCGCCGCCGGCAGCCTGACATTGTGATTTAAAATGTCCTGGTTTGCCACAATTGAAACAATTGCCTGAAGGGCGTTGGCCCGATGTTTGTAAAGCAGCGGCCAACGCCTCCATTTGGAAGACCGTGGAGCCCACTTTGTGGCATGCTTTAAGGTAATCAGCAAGATTCATCACTGGGTTGGAAAGGAGGGGGCGAAGGATCTCTTGACAATCCGTATTCGCATTTTCATATGCGAGACGTTTGACCAACTCGGTCCTAGCCTCCTCATTGTCAACCTGTCTAATAACCGCTTGGGTCAGTTTATGAAATCAGAATATGGCTCATTGGGCTTCTGACGGATAGAAGCAAAGGAGGAAACGGATGACTTAGGGTCATCCACTTTGAGAAAGGCAGATAAAATTATAGGGTTAAGTAAAGCGAATAGGGCAGGGGGGGAGGCAACTTGCAATGCAATGGTATTAACAGCACCTTCCCCTAAGAGATGATCAGCAGTAATGGCAGCCGGGGGTCCCGGGAGGTTCCCGCGGGCCACCGCCGCTCGTACCCCCTGCCGCCAAACGGACTCAAAGATTAGAAATTGCGAAGAGGAAAGAAGCATAGTAGCAATATTTTTCCAATCTTCTGGGATCAGTTGATAACTATTTGCCATAGAAGTAAGCAAACCCCTGGTATAAGGGCTCTGAATCCCATACTCAGCCACTGCCTTTTTGAGATCTTTAACCATTTTAAAATCAAGGGGTTGATGACCCCGAATTTTTTGATTGGGATTTTGCGGGTCATCTGTAAGGCCAACGGGAAACATCTGTAAATCCTCTAAGGAAAGGTCTCCCGTTGCCATCGCTCTCTTCAGTCCAGCTGTAAAAGCAGACTGAGGCGAGGTCTCCGTGTCAGCGGTTGGTGGAGGCGGAGGGGGGGGCAGATGGCTGAGGTTTTTCAGTTGAAGAGGCAATGTTGGAGTTTTTTGCCTCAGAACATTGTTTCTGCATAAAGGTGTCCTCATATGGAGGTGGAGATGCAGTGTTGAGTGCCATGGCATCGCTCGAATCTTTAATAGCTTTTTCATAAATTTCCAAACTGTCAACAATTACTTGACAAGTAATAATCAAATCATAAGAGGCTTTAGGGGGTTCATTTAAATATTTCAATATACGCCTCCATTTTTTAGATGAAATGTCTCCTGAAGGGGGATAAGTGGGATATTTTCGCCAAATGAATTTCAGCAATTTGATTAAATCATTCCCTGAAATTGAGTTTAAAGGTTTGCCATGGTTTATGCAAATAATTTTTGCAGCCTTGACAAGGTCTCCAAGTTCTTGGAGGTGTGTAACCTGGCCCTTGGACAACCCTTTCCCCATACTCACTAAGTCTGATGACTGCGGAGTGCCTCACTGGCAAGAGTATGGGGGCGTCGAGGCGAACAACCAGGACCAGGGATCACGTTGGGGTCACCAGTTGTGGCTTTTCTCATGGCCAACGGGCTCACCACGAAAGGGTCTGGGCAGTCCCGCGCCAGACGGAGTGAGAACAAAGACACAGAGTCAAATTCTCCTCGGGATGAGTGAGCTCCGAGCTAACTCGAGACAAACTCTTTTTATTGAGGTTTTGTTAGGGGTGGGTTACAAAATATCAGAAGGCAAGCATATGATCCTGATTTAACCACTCATAATTTGACACATTGGGTCGGATATACATATATGGCAAGCATAGCTAAGTCTATATGTGCAAAGCAGTTTTTTCTATCATGTCCAGATTTATCCGGACAGGCTCTGTGGTTGGCTTTTCTGAGCAGTTAGCAACAGCAGGTGTGAATACATCTTTTCCTGTTACAAGATGTTCAGATACATGGAAATATCACAGTAACATGGTTATGTGGTTTGGAACAGGATGCAGCTACATTTACTTAGCTTTTATTACTAACTAGCTTTGTGCATTTTAACTCATAGCCTGACATGGTGGTTTCTGTCAGAGGATGTGGTTGTCCTACTTATTGTCCTAGGCCTCAAATACGCAAGCTGGCCACTGGCCTAGTCTTGCTATAGAAGCCTGAACCACAAAAATCCCAACAGAAAAGGCCCAAATATCATGTTCTTTCCCTGAAATTCTACTAAAAGCAATCTTTGATTTTGTGAAGAGGTGAAAATTGCACGTGAATGTCTTCATTTCTATCATCAGTAGATCAGCAACAGAAAATAGCTCTAGCTATTTGAATAGGTACTTCAATTCATATTTCCATTTCATTAAAATGTGAAATCAGGTTACCTAAATGAAATCCTTATGTAATTATGGTCACTAGGACTTCCTATTCTTGTTTGTTAGCAATTTCCCCTAGTGAGAAACGTCACATGTTATACTAATTTCTCTTTGTGAGATGCTCCCTTTGGTTTAATTCAGGCCGGAAAACAATGATGTAGCATTTTGGCAATAATATGCATCCCAGTAATGCAGCACTGGAGGACAAGATGGAAAAGACCTCCACAGCTACCATGGCTTTTCCTTTTGTACTCAGATAGGCTGGAAAGAAGGAGATCCACACACTGCAAAAGGCCAACATGCTAAAGGTGATGAACTTGGCTTCATTAAAGCTGTCAGGTAATTTACGGGCAAGAAAAGCTACAATAAAGCTGGCAATGGCCAAGACACCCATATAGCCCAATACACAATAAAAGAAGAAAGCTGACCCCTCATTGCTTTGTAAAATCATTTCTTGGAGTTGTGAGTGCATGTCCAACTCAGGGAATGGGGGAAATGTTGACAACCAAAGAATACAAATACATACTTGGAAAAAGGAGCAGGAAAGGACAGTAGAAAAAGCCAATCTTTTCCCTACCCATCTCCTCATCTGAGATCCTGGTTTAGTGGCCATGAAAGCAACAACCACAATGATGGTTTTGGCCAGCACACTAGAAATGGACACTGAGAATTTGATTCCAAAAGTTGATTGCCAGAGAAGGCAGGTCACTTTACTAGGTTGGCTGAGGAAGAAGAAAGAGGAGAGAAAACAGAGCTGAAGAGAGATAAGGAGGGTGTAGGTGAGATACCGATTGTTGGCTTTAACAATGGGAGTGTCCCTGTGCTTAATAAAAGTTCCAAGTATCCAAGATGTCAAGAAGAAGAAACCAAGAGCTGATAAGGCTAAACCAATTCCTAAGGGTTCTTCAATAGTTAGAAACACCACTGGTTTCAGGATACATCCATTCTTTTCTTTATTTGGATAATGATCTTCTGGACATTTAAAACAGTCATCCATATCTGGGAGGAAAGTCAAGAAATTTGTCATTTAGGCATTCCAAATCAGTTGAACTAATTGTATTAATTGTATGCATCCTAAACTTGTATATTAAAGTTTGCTTAAGTCTAATGAAAATTAGTAGAATTCCTACCATACCATTTTGATTTGAAATCTTCCCTTCTGGGCATGGAACACAGTCATAGCAGCAGAACTGATCTCCTTCAATCCCTTTCTTCCAGTCCCCAGGGAAACAAGGGTCATTGCATCGAGAAAATGGAAGAACCTTACCATAAATAAAAGAAAATGTTTTGAAAAGAAGGGTTGTTAAAACAGTTTCTGATTTTTCTGATTTCAGATGGAAATGCACAACAAATATGCAACCATGGCTTTTACATTGTAATATCACCTTTGTCAATCTGACGAATCATTGATCATCAACAACATTTGAAGGAATATGCCATTGTTTATTAAAAAAAAACACCAGAAATTAGATTTCTAAAGAGACTATGTTCAATATGGGATCCTAATGGATTAAGGCATGGTGGATTAAATAATTCAATACCTGGTTAAAAGCTGGACTCCAGACAATCAAATCTTCATCCATGGATAATTCCTTCCCTTTTGGAGCTTGTAGATCCAACTTTCCAATTCTAACTCTCTGAAAGGATCTGTTTGGAAAAGTGATCAAATTGGTGATGTCGAAACCTGTTGCTTCCCCTTTCTCATTCAGGAATACTCTCTCCCCAGCTGAGTTGTTAAAAGAAATGCCTTGAAGAAATGGATGGAGCTACTTGAAAGAGAATGAAAGAGAGAGGATGCTGAGAGATATATAATAGAGAGGAGAAAATCATATTAAAGTTTTATTCAATCATTCTTCCAAATGCTATAACTATTATTAAATTTGTGTGCTTAGAATTTGGATAATCAATATTGCATGATAATGTACATGTCCATGCTATATACCTAATTTAATATTTATAAAAGGAAAGGAAAGAATGAACTGAAGCAGAATGTAAAAAAGATTCTGGATTTTTGTAACTTCCTTTAATTATGTTTTACGTTCACTACTTAAACAACTAATTCAAGATAAATCATATCTAATCTTTCCTCATTGATATAAGGTTATTTGAAAGTCTGAGGTCTGACTAATGTCCTTTAGCAGTTTTTAGTATCTAATATCCAATCATTCCTCCATACAGAGATGCAAGATAGAGATTATTGCAAACATGTTTCATGTTTCATACTATGGATGCCTCATCTAAAAAAGATCATTTTTATTTCATTCCTCTAAAACTCTGATAGAGATAGGAAGCTCAGCTTTTTACCCATGAAAAGTTCATGAGCCACACAAAGTTTTGGGGGAATAGACTGTTTTTGGAGAAGGCAATGACAAGTAATCTAAATTATCACTTTAACTAGCTCATATTGTGCAATGTATGGTGATTTAGTATATGCCTGCTGACATATAAACCATAATTTATACAGTAGCTTCTCGATGATCAGAATAACAACAGAAACTACCTTTTCTATATCTATTTTAGACAGAACAGTATTTCAGAGTCAGAAGAGACCTGAAGGTCTTGCTCAAAGAGGAGACCCTATACTATTTCACATAAGTAGTCCTTCTCTTCTTAAAAATCTCCAGTGTTGGAGCATCCAAAACTTCTGAAGGAAAGCTGTTCCACTAATTCATTGTTAATTGTTCTCACCATCAGGAAATTTCTCCTTATTTCTAAGTTGTTTTCTCATGCTTAATTTCATATGGAGAAAATATTAAGACTTTACACAATGGGTTCAAAATATAATTCTACCTCAAACTGCTTATTGAAATAAAATAAGTGTCCAATGCAAAGGGAATACCTGCCAAGACTGGAGATGTGGAAGGTCAGGATTTTTACAAATCATAGGTTTTTTTCTATTGAAATGTAATGTGTATAGAGCTTGCAAAGCATGAGCCACAGCATGAACAGCATTGTAGATACTGTAGCTTTGTCCAGTCATTTCCATTTCAAAGGCAGGTCCAGGAAGATCCTCTAGCTTCATCTTCCCAGTGCATTTTCTATTCTGCATTTCTTGTAATTCTGTTTTTGGAAATGAACAATCAAATAATTGTTCCCAAACTTCCTGCAGAAACTCATCTCTGCAGACTGAAAGAGGATTGATGGTCTGAAGGAATTCCTTGAAACCTGCAACTGCTGTTGAATGAGCAGTGAAGGAAATAGCCCCATGGAACATCTGGAGATCCCAACTGATTTGAAATCCTGATAGTACAAAATCAATTTGTGCAGTCATGATCCACACCTTTCTAAATAATGCAACTTCTTTCCTTTCAGGATCTACCATAAATGTGACAACTCTTAGCCACATAATTATCAGTGCTTCTCCATAGACAAGAAATGTGTTGGCTTTGCTAGTTATCCAATTCATGGAAATAATTGAGATTGTTTGAAAAACGTCTGGGAAATCTTCTAAGTGGATGAGTTGTGCAAGCCTTTCTATGAACGATGAGCAGATTCCGTTCGCTGAAAGTAAGAGCTCCATTTTATGTAAGAATTTTTCTCCATCGTTGTTATCAAGAGCAAAAATCCCAATCCAGGTCCACCTGAAATAGTGAAGCAGCTGGATAATCCCAATGTATTGATGGTACTCTTTTGGGACCATGAAATAAAGTGAAGAGAGTTTACTGTTCTCAAATGCATCTTGGGCTAATGAGCCATATGTCAACTGCAAGAAAGTAGAATAATATTCTGTTGAGTTGTTAGATCAAATGTAATTTTCCTGATTTAGTTTTCATATAAAATATATCAAAGGAAGGAATTATTTCCCTGAAATTCTTCTAAGTATTAATATGGAAAGGAATTTCTTGGAATAACTTCAAGCTCATATAATTGATCAATTTTTTTGATAGAAGCAAAGAATACTATGTTCAACTCTTTTTCCAGGTATGTAATGTCTATGGATACTCACTTCTTATATTTGCATTGTAGTTTCAAATTTATGCTAATAGACCTTAAGCCAGGTAGAACATCTTTTTACAAACCTAAATCTAATCTTAAAGTTCCTTAATTATTCCATAACAACATCAAAAAAGAATATAGAATTTTTCTCTTTAACCCTTTCACAACTTACTTGTGGAATCTTGGAGAATTGAATAATTTCAGCAATATGAGATGATGTGACAAAATCCAATCCTCCAATGATAGCCATGAGATTCTTCTGGCTATCACACTTGTAGTTAGGGACAAATTCCTGGGATTTGAAAAGCAGGTCCAGAGTGGTGCGATAGGTCATCCTTGCATTGAGGTAACTGTCATAGATGTGGAACCCGAGAGTGACATTAGGTAACATCTGGGAGTCCTCATTGATCTCCTTCACAGCAAAGGCCAAGGCAAGGACGTGTTGATGAAATTTGGGGAATATACTGCAAAGAATTTAAATATCATAGTTGAAAATGTAAATTGTCAATTCTCATAAGGTGGCAACATTTCTATACTGTATGAATAACAAACATTTCTTTCTCTGATGATAGTAGGAAGACAATAGCTTTCCTAAAATGCTTAATAATTCATTCAGAGTTTACATTTATTTTACATAGCATTTCCCTGACTTCCAATAAATAGGTACTACAACAAATATAAGTAGTGATTTTTTTCAAATTAATATATTTTCTATGTGATTTTTAAAAAATGATATATGAATAGATTTAGGAGGTATCACTTATATACTGTATGTATGTTTTGTGAAGAGAGATATGTAAAACCTTTTTTGATCTTAAATTTTGTACATTTCATGTGAAAGATTTTGAAATACTCTAAAGTTTATATCTTCTCTCACAACCAGGTACAATTCAAAAAAAGTTAAGTCATAGATTACATTAAACACACTAAATTTATGCACAAAGATATTTTAGTCATATAAAGGATTTTTGAAAATCTGGATAAGTTTAGATAGAGAAAAAAATTCGTACATTGGTATGTCATAAGGTTTTGTAGAAGGATTTTCACTGAATTTAATTTCATAAAGGTGGTAAGCCATGTGAGATGCCATCTCACCAAAAATGAAGTCTCCAGGTTGATACCACTCATGTGGAACAAGGAAAGTATCACTTGCAGGGCATTTCAGAGAAACTACTTTGTATAGCAAAAACATCAGAAAAAACATCTTCATGGTTTTGTTTTTGTGAAAATGTTTTCCCTTCCATCCTACTGATCAAGAGGTAAATATAATCTAATACTTCATCTAAAGATTGATCCAAGGCTTATATCTGAGAATGCACCTAATGAGAAAATCTATCAGTTTTTATTTAAAGATCCACATGAGCGCAAAATTGCATCTTGAACACCATCAGGATTTGAACAGATACTCTGGCAGAGGAAAACAGAGGGTAGAAAGCTGAAGCAAAGTATCTGACAGAGCCATTATTACCCTTGTGCCAAACTTCATGTGGTTCAAGTGTTACTTTATATCCAAACTGATACCTTGATCGTTCTTGAATATAATTCCCTTCTGTGCAGCCTTTGGTGTTTTGGCCTAGCTAAGAAAACATGGTGATTCCTCTAGGAGATAATTGTTTTGTTTTGATGAGATAATAATTGGCCAATGGTTCAACTATGTTTTTTTAAATGAGCAAATGTCAATGACAGTAATTTAAGGGAGATTTGTAATAAAATATATGCTTAGTTGTAGAAAGTGTTTTTTTGAAGCTACCACATTTATTTTCTACCATTTTTTCACAAAATAGAATATGAACAGATCCACCAGTTATCAGTCTTTTATTGCATGTATGTTTTGTGAGGAATAACAATGCACATTTTTTTTTAAAAAAAAAAATACCTTGAGCTGACTAAAAATCTTCAAAAGATTTCTTGCACCAAAGTTTCCTACATTCTATAGCCAACACTTAACAAAATCTAAAGAATATTATTTCTTCTACCACAACTAGAAATATTTGAAAGACAGAGTGGCTTACATTAGAGATACAGTAAAGCCTTTTGCTCATTTCAGCAATTTGGGGGGAACTGGCTAACATTATAAAAAGAAAAAAAA